CTCTTTTAAATTTAGTTCAACCTTCAAAGAATGATTTAACTTTTTTTTTTGCGTGAACTTTTGTCCATATTTAATATTTATAAGGTTTGAAGATGTATTTGAGACATTTGTATTTTATGTTACTTTAAAATTTTGATGATTCTAATCTTTTGTGTTTTAAGAATTGAGATAGGGTATCACTTCTTGTACACTTCAGGAATTATGATTTTTTTTCATTTATTTAACATGAAAATGGATTATGCATTTTCTTTTACCTCGGAGTACATATTTTAGTATTATTTTTTTCATATTTAACTGAGGCTTACGGCTCATTCCTCCTCTGCTCCACCACTTCGAGGCTAGTTTTTGCCTTTAAAAACCTGGCTAGTTGGCATTAAGGGCTGATAATGATGACAAATATTACTTTCAGCTGGGTGGTTGTTCTACCACGTGGTTCCCGAAATACACAGCCCTGCAAGTTGGAGCTTGCTATGTATGCAACTCAACAGGTATGTTAGTGTCCTATTTGCTACCTTATGTAATGTTAAAGCCACACCATTTATTAATTCTTGTGAAAGAAAGATTTGCTACTCTTTATTCTCTTCATCTTGAACTTCAATTAGACCTCACTTTTTTACTCCCTCCGTCCCATATCTTTCTTCGCAGAGTACTATTCCAACTTCACAGGAACTTTTGTTTATTTGCGTTTTTTCATGGCCTATATGATAAAATAAAATATTTTGTCACCACTTGTTTTGTTGAACTTTTGATGTTTTTAAATATATTAATTTTATTTTATATTTCTATACCAATATTTCAACAAAATATATTTAACAAATTTTGGATTTTTCTTCGTTTTGCGCAACACGAAGAAAGATATGGGACGGATAGTGTAATTCATTATGCTGTATTCTTCTTTTGTGTTAGTGATCTATTTTTTATGTTTTACTCCGTATTAGTTATTTTTGCAACATGTATTACTTGGTTATTTCTTCAATAGGATCAAAGTTATGCATGGCAGGAAATAGGGGGCCGGTAACCTAAGGCTGATACTTTCACATATAAATTTTTTCCATCTGTATAATAAACATTATACTTTGCTTCTTATAGTACACTTCTCGTGTTCTTAACTTTTTTTTGTTATACTTTGATTAGGATGCTCAACCCCGAACTGTTGCACTATGGAAGGCCAACATGGAAGAACCTAATTTTAATCATTCAGCTCCAGTAGTGGTCATATCAAATGTTTCAAGCAGTAATTCACTATCATTGACCATAGTTAAATTTGACCCAAGTATTTCTAAACATCAATCTAGATAGATGATTGTTTTGTGATTTTAATGCATAGTCCCAAGAGGCCGGAGGCGAAGGAGAGGTATCATGTCCTCTCAACTACCGAGGCATGGACCTCGAGGAGCTAGGCGTAAGTACAATTAATATGTCATTTAGCTAAACCTTACTGCATAAAGCGGTTATTAGATGACCTTGTAGGAATTCAGTGAAAAATCATTAGCAAAGTTTTCACTTCAATCGCATCTCTATATGAAGGGTTTGTTAGAACCTTTAGTAGAATGATGATATTAGACAATTGGCCTTCTCCTTTGCGTCAAATAATATGGGCTATAACTCTGCAATTTGTTTGTTAGTGTATCATGTTTGATGTTTCTAGTTCTCACACATTACTTCCTAGTCACATGACCCCATCCTTTCCAATTAGGTGATAAAGTTATCCTCAAATTAGGTCATATATATTGAGCTTCTGTTGGTCATTTTGGATTCCCAAGTATGTAATATCAAAATAATCAAATTCCTTGAGGTGGATAATGCTTTTGGATACTCCTTTTTTGGCCAACTCTCAGCATACATTTAAGATGCACTCTAAGCCTTGCATTTAATGCTGTATGAAAAAAACTGACATCATTTTCGGGATTGTACTGTCTATTATCCTGGACCAGCATTTGATCATCAGAGCCTCAAGAGGATCACTTATATTTGCTTGAAATTTTTCTTTACGCCTTAAGAGCCTTAAGACATCTTCAGTAACAATCCGATTATTTAATTTTATCCAACTTAATTTTTAACTATTTGTTGCAGAACTGCGGATCAAACTTGCTGCCGTGCAAGAAAGTGACAAACAACTGTTGCAGTCATTTTGGAATGCATGCAATGGAATTCCACAGGTGAAATCTCAATCTTCTCCCAAGCAACCTTGGAACTGTATGTTGTACGGAGTATTATACATTCCAACAAATTACTAATGAAATATTTATTTTTCTTATCAAAACTCTTCTAATGGGTTCAAAATTCTGGAATCTATAGCTATGAATTTGGTAAGTGCTATGCATCTATGAATCATATTGCACCCTTGTGTGACCTACCATTCCCAGGTCAATGTTTTGGAGACATGAATTTAAGAGGTCAACTAATTTTGATATGTGCAATGTGGGGTTGCATCCCTCTAATAAATGGCCTTTCATTCAGGTCACTCATCCAGGATTTCCATTAAGCACCCAATATCCTGTTCTACCAGCAACCGCTCCACCTGCCTTGGACGATGTAGAGTTGGCTATGGCTATTAGTGCCTCCATGCAGCCTCCTGTGCATGAAAGACCCATTTTGGAAGCAGAGTTGGAATCTGGATCGGTTGCCTCGACAAGTTTTACTAACCCCATGGAAGTAAAAGCTGGCCCGAGTAGCAATGAGATTCAGCATAGCCGGACCCCAATTGAGACGTCTGTGATCTGCACAAAGGTTGAGAACCCTATTCAAGCACCCATCCTCCCCTCAGCTCCTATCATTGGAAATGAGGAAATAGATCAAGGTCCAATTCATTATCCATCAATTGACACAAGCTGTGTAGAATTTTCTTCACAATATGTTGAGAATGTAGCTGCAGCACCACATGAAGACAAAGACCAACCTAATGCTACTTGTGTTATATGCTTGGATGCTCCCATTGAGGGAGCTTGTGTCCCATGTGGCCATATGGCAGGCTGCATGTGTTGTCTGGGTGATATTATGGGAAAAAAGTGGGGTTGCCCCGTCTGCCGTGCTAAGATTGATCAGGTGATAAGGCTATATGCTGTATGACGGTTTCAAGTGGAAAGTATGGTGTTGTATGTGGTAAGTAACTTCTGGCACTTCTCACAAAGATACAAGCTTATTTGATTTTTGATTCAGATATATTGTTTGGCCCTTTAGGCCAAGCCAAGTGCTTGACTGTCACGACCCGTTACATCGTGGCAGGACCCACTGACTCATTGGGTTCTTCACTTTAATATTAACTGCTGACCCTCTGCTCAGCAGACCCAATGACCATTGGAATATTGGATGATCGGGAATCGGGATCTGCAAAACAATGGGTCCGAACTCCGGATTCAAGATTTACCATATCACTAGAATACTGCATTAGGATTTCAGGCCTAATGTTCAGAGTAACAGTGGAATATTACTATGAATTTTTATATTTCCTTAATATTTGATTCACTAGATTATGAATAAGTACGACCATTCTAATACGAAAGGGATGTGGGGTAATCATTGTCTAATTCTTTATTTGGGGGAAGCATATAATTCCTCTTATAGAAGCAGCATATAGTTTCTTTATTTGTAGAATATAATTTCTTGCATGTATAAATGACATTTATTCTCTTTTACAGGGGGGAATTCTATGCTCTCTATTACCTTGGATTGCTGCTTCTCTCCTGCCTCCAAGAATCATTTGCTTTTATAGCTTTCTGAGTTGTGTCTATATTAGTGAGTTGTGTCTATATTAGTGCAACATCATTGCACCTTATACCACATTGGATGTGAAGCATTTGTCATTTAATGTTATCAGTGTCCTAATATATGAACGTGGAGGCAAAACAAATAAAGGCATGGGAAATGTACGGATGATGTAATGTAAACTTTGTGCAAGTGTGTAAATACTTTTGAAAAGCGTGCTGTATAATGTTTTTTTTTTACATCTACATACCAAGCGGCCGGGGTTCATCCAACAGTTGAAGACTCTAGAATAGATAACATCCTGCATATCTTCTCAATGATCAACCTGTCGATATTAAGTTGAGTGCCCATTCCAATTGTATGCTCCCTCTCCCCAAAGAACTTTACCTTTTGGTCACCAATGTGATGCCTTCACTAATAATAATTACTACCTCCGTCCTTGATTATTTGCCCAGCTTTGACTTTTTTCGGTCAATTATTTTCAACTTTTGATCTATAATAAAATGAGATATATATTGTATATTAATTAGATAAAATAATATTTTGAAGATATTGATACAATAAATCTGATAAAACTATTTTTGTATCCATAGTTAATATCATTTTTATTTAATTTGAGGTTTCCCAATTTTGATCGAAAAAATCAAAAATAGACAAATACTCAGGGACAAAGAGAGTATATCTTAGTAGTAGACCTGGCAAAACGGTCGGTTAGGTCGGGTTCGGGTTCGGTATAATCAGGTTCGGGTTATTTCGGATTCGAGTCACTTCAGGTTCGGGTCTAAGAGTGCTTGTTCATGACCCAGAGTTATCGGGTTCGGGTTGACCCAACGGGTTAAGAGATATTTAAAAATTTAAAATTTTTGCTATTTAGAGATAATGCATGTGATCCGAGCATTATTCAAAATAAAGAACGAAATCATAAAAGTTCGCAGTTCTATTTGTAATATACCAAAAGAGAATTGCAATATATATATATATATATATATATATATATATATATATATATAAGCAGTTGCGCATTGGTTGCCCGGTTGGTACCTTGTTGCTGTTACTAATTACTAATATATTTATATATTAAACAAAAGCATAGTATTTACATGATTGATTCATAGGTACATGAGTGCATGTCATCAGTAGACAGAGGCATACTATTTACATGATGGAGTCAAAAGATAAGTTGCATCATTTAGATTACATTGGTTCCTACTGGCAGCTGCATTAATGTTTTCTCTCTTGAGTTGACAAAAGAACTTTGGGATCATGTTTGAGAGTACGCCATCACACAACTTCATATGTAGGGTTGGAAAACGGTGTGAGTCATTGTTTCCCAAGGCTTCAGTTCAGTCGATCTTTTGCTTTTTCTCGGTTTGTTCGCCCACGCCTTCGGATTTGTCTGTGAGAATTCTTTTTGGTGTGTTCGCCTGAGAAGTTGTCGGTGCGTCGTTGGTTGAGAGACTGTAAAGGCATAGGACTGCGTATGTTGTTTCGTTTCTTCCTTGGTAATTTGGCGGTATGATTTTGATTGCAGTTGTGGCTGTCATTGGCGCAAGCTGGTTGTTGAGATCGGTGCAGTTGATGTCTTCAATTGGTGCATTTGTTTGCAGAATGCGCAACAGCTTTTTGACTTCGTGCGTGAAGATTGTCATAGCCAATGCTCCAGTGTGGTCAGTTATTTCAACGTTCATATTGTACCTGTTATGTTTTAATTACGATGAGTAATTTGATATGTTTTAATTTTTGTCACTGCTTTCTAATTGGAAAGAGAATGGAGTAAAAGAGTATACCGCTTTGTTGTAATTGCATTTTTCTTTCCGCAGTTCAAGCATTTGAATGTTATTCCTTCCGTGAAGATGACCCTTTTGTTGCAAGTATCGCATCCTATATAGTATGGTAGAGGACAATCTTCGAGGATTCTAATATGTCCTTCGAGCCAGAAGATTTTGTTCCTGTTAAAAATCGGAATGCGGGGTGTTATGCTGTGACAGAGTACAATGTTTAAGTATGAAATGGTTGCAGGTCACTGCCTAAGATACACACTCCCTAACAGATTTCCATTGAAACACACGTGTAGTGGGTATACAACCGTTGTTACCTTGTCGTCTGATGCTTTCACGTGAGAAGTAGTTGACTTTAAAAAACAGTCTGGACGTACAAAGTGACTAAGTGTGTCGTGGTGCTGATCTTTCTGGAGAACGTTTTTGATTGATGTTGTGTTTGATGTGCTCCTGTAAGATAAAATTTGGTGTGAATATGTATTTTGAATTTCGAAAAATAATAATTGTTGATATACATACCATTCTCTTAGTGCAAGTGCCTGAGGGGTTGTGGGATTTATCTCTATGGATGTGTCGAAACGTGTTGTCAAGGACAGACCTGCATGTATAAAGGCGCATACATGACTTTAGGGTTTTAATTATATTTATGGGAGTATATATGTATGTATGTATGCAGTTTGTGATAGGAGAAGATTTGGGTTACCTAGGAAAGATGTGGCAGCAACTCTCTTTGCGAGTATCAGTGGATAGCTACCACTTGCAAGTATCTTCCCAAGTTCGGAGCCTTGGACATTTGTGCCCACATGGTGAGCATAATCGGTTTGCATCTGCTAGGTGAAACCAAGGGTAATATAAAACACTGGATTCATAGTAATTTGCTACTAAAATTTTTAAACCAAAAGTGAAACTATAAAACACTGGGTTCATAGTAATCTGATACTAAAATTTTAAAACCAAAAGTCAAACTAAACAATGGACAATAGCTTTAATCCAATAAGGGACCAAAAGAGAAGAGATGACATTTGTGTTGGTAGGTCATGGGTCTCTTCAAAAGAAACATTGAGTTCCTAAAGTACAATAGTACTCTCACAAAGAAAATAACTCCATCTTCCTGATTCAATCAATCAGCAAGTTTTTAAAGTAATTCTGCAACCAAGGGTAATATAAAACACTGGATTCATAGTAATTTGGTACTTTAATTTTAAAACCAAAAGTGAAACTATAAAACACTGGGTTCATAGTAATCTGCTATTAAAATTTTAAAACCAAAAGTCAAACTAAACAATGGATAATTTGTGTCGGTAGGTCACGGGTTTCTTCAAAAGAAACATTGAGTTCCTAAAGTACAATACTACTCTCGCAAAGAAAATAACTCCATCTTCCTGATTCAATCAATCAGCAGGTTTTTAAAGTAGTAGAGACATCATTTTTAGCAGCAATCATACAGATCATTTCTATGTATACAGCAGGTCTCTAATTTTTAAGGAAAACCCCTTGTTTCATTTAAAAAAAAGCTATTGCTTTCGCAGTTCAGATTGATCATTTAGTTAACCCTTTCACTTTTGCTTTATATTAAGCAAGAGTTGCGATATTGCTTTTGTGAGTATCATAAATGTCTGAGTTTGTCAATAGGATACCTTCAAAATTGTTTTCACTGGTTTGTATCTGGTTTTTTTTGTCTTCATCACCTTACATTTAAATTCTGAAGGTTACTGGCAAAGGCGACAAAGCTAAAGAAGTCCTTGATCAGGCAGTTGAAAATTCACACTTGTCTAAACCACTACTTGAGGTATCTTTCTTTCTTGTCCCCTGTGCTTTTATGTACCAGTATGCGACCCAGCACATGCTTAGAATGATTAATGGGGTTGTTTCATTGTCTTAAACTCCTAATTGGGTTGTGTTAATGAATGCTTCATTTGTTCATTGTACTGCAGGCAATCATCCATTTAGAATCAATTCAGCCACAACGAAAGAGAATCGAATATTTGGATTCATTAATTGAAAAATTCATAGTTCCTACTATTGATGCATCTTTCACTGCGAGTATGGATGAAAGGGAGGAGTTATCAAGCATCAGTCAAATATCAAAATAACAAATCGAAAAACCAAAAATGTACTCTTTATGTAATTACGTACTCGTGATCAACGATGACGAAGTCATTTGCTCTTTGTTTGCCTTGTCCTGTAATAACAAACTCTCGAGAAGATTTGGAGATTATGACTGCGAGTGTAGCTGTGATTAAAGAAAATAATTATATTTTGAATTGGGAAAGTGTTCAAAAGTAGTGAATTAGAATGTACACGTTTATATAGTTGACTTACTGATCTTTTTCTTGTTTTGCATAGCATTGTAGAATGTAGAGAATGGATCTATGTTCATTGGAAGTGCAGTCTGGACAATGATTTTTTGGTCCGGATCAGAGTCTTGGATCATTGTCCACCTGTAGATATCTATAGTTGTCGTCGGGGAAACCAAAACTGTTGGTGATTGGGGAAACTTTAGCGTTTGAGATGAGGTAAGTTTCATGCAGTTGAAGGCGTTCGTCGATGACGAGGATGTCTTCATTATATGTCATGCCTTTGACTTTGTTTCCCTGGAAAAAGAACATCATGAAAAAGGTGTTATGATAATAATGTGTTTGGTAAGTGTAACGTTAGCATAGGAATCAGTATTACCGCTGTGTCTTGCATGATCAGAGCCTTATATTTTTTCCCTGGGGTTTGAAATGAGTCCCGAGTATTGAGTTTCTCAATAATTGTCACTTTGCATGTCCATGCTCTTGATTGTGGAGTTATCTCTGGGATAAGCTGGTGGTCATCCATCGGTAAACCTGGATTTAAAAGAGAGTTTAATTGCTAGATCTACTTATTCCATGAGAAATAACCCTACACAGATTGGAAACTGCAGTATGAAATCTCTAAGTGTTAGGTGAGTGGATGGGCTTACATTTGTTTTTTATATTGAAATGTATTCTAATACTTCTTTGTATACTATATTGGCAGTGGCATTTGTTAGCTTTTCTTTTTTAATATCATCATGAATAAGCATTTTCATTGAATCAGCATTTTTGGCTCGTGACATAGCAACATACAACTGGCCATGAGAGAAAACGAGTTGTTTTAGATATATTCCAGCATAGTCAAGTGTTTGGCCTTGTGATTTGTTGATTGTCATTGCAAAGCAAAGTTTAATGGGAAATTGGTTTCTTTTAAAAGGAATTGAGCAGTGATCGTCTTTTGAGGTTTCGAGAGGAATCCTAGGTATGAAGACATGTTTTTTTTGTGTTCACCAACTGCTATGTAACAACTCAGAACATGTTCATTAAAAGTGTCACAGATGAGTCGCGTCCCATTACATAATCCTTCACACGGATTCAAATTCCTCAACAGTATAACGGGACAATTTTTCTTCAAAATTAATGTGTGTGGTGGCAAGCCTGCAAACGAAAGAGTATGCAAGTAGTCTTGGCAGTTTTTGTATTTCAAATCCAATGCTTCATCATAGCTCAGTAAAGTTTTCGCTTCGCCAGGAAATTTAGTAATAAGAAGCTGATTAATTTCATCTACATTATCATTTGTAGTAGTCAATATTATTCTACCCATTAAAAGATAAGGATCTTGCTGGAAAATATTTAAGTCTGGGTAAACAGCATTAAGTAGTGCGGAAAGTGCATCTATTGTATTTGTGCCAGGAATAATAAATCTAGAAGGGATTCGAATTTTGGATCCAGAAATGGTGGGTTCAGTTCCGTTCCCTATGTTCATGAGATATTCGCAGAAAAGAGGATCAGTTCGTGCTCGCATATTTTGTACTAATGTCAGCCGTTTTACGTTTGGCTTAGATCTCCACCAAAAACTATTACCTTGCCCCCAAATAGCTCACCAGAATCCATCAGATCTTTTAGTGTGACGTCTAAGGCCTCTATAATTCCCCGATTATCCATTGTAATTTCATCCCATATGATCAATCTTGCTTCTTTAAGCAATGTAGCTTCAGCACTTCTTTAAGCAATGTAGCTTCAGCACTGTGTTTTCCAATATTGCATACATATCGACCATCTCCATTAAGTGGCAATTTAAATCTCGAATGTGCTGTACGGCCACCAGGGAGAATTGAAGCAGCAATTCCCGATGTTGCAGTTGCTAAAGCTATCCATTTTTTTGATCGGACTGTGCATAATAAAGCTCTGTACAAATATGTCTTTCCAGTACCACCAGGTCCATCGACAAAGAATGCTGCAGGTTTGTTTGCTAGAACGCTTTCCATGATGCAATCAAATGCCTCTTTTTGTTCATTATTCAGGTTTAGAACAGATTGCGGATCTTGATCACTAACTTGCAGGCAATATTCTGATCTAATTTCTCGAGCTTGGATTTCTGCTTGATTTAATGGGGTTTCATGGTCAATGAAGTTGAATGTGGTGACGTTCTTTCCAAAGTTTTCCATTACATCTCCGATGAGCTGGACAACAATTTTCTCTATTTCTCTTGAAGTATAAAGTCCTGTCTGATAATAATCTTTGCATAAATGGGATTTGAACTTTGTGCATATTGCTTTTGGATCTGAGACATCGCAAAAAACTAAAAGAATAGCAAATAGCTTTCTTAGACTATGAGGCAGTTGATACACGATAGCTTCCTCAAGACAAGTGTCAACAGCAAAACTTCCCATTAAGAGGCCTCTTCTCTCAGCAGCTTCTCGAAATGTTGACGCTAACTGACCGTCGACAAATTTTAGACTGTCAAAGGATGTTGGAGCTCTTATATTTTGGAGTAACAATCGAAGGTAGTATCTTTCTCCTTCGGTTGGATTTACGCTCACCAAACGACCTATGACATGCTTGCGTTTTCGCTGAGTCCAACTTTTGTTTGAGTTTGACCAAACAAAGTATTCAGGAAATTGAATATAAAAAAGTTGTAAGTTTTTCGCGACAATATCATGTGAATTCATTTCGAAAAATCTTGTTAACATTGTGTTTGATTTTTCATCATTCTTCACAATCTTCGTAATCCTTTGGTTACCAAAGAAACTGATATATTGGAAGTTTTCCAAATGAACTTGCAATTGAATAACCGAAGGATGCATTTCAGCAATTGGGAATGCAAAAATTCTCCATGCCGCCTCTGGAGCAGAAACCCATCGTGCGTTTTGGAAGTCTTTTATTTCATCAACTTCAAGAGAGTCTTTATTATTGGAAATTCCGATGCTTATTCTATCGTGACCTTTGTAAACGTATTTGTAGATGTACTTTACGGATTTAACTGAAGCCCAAACTTCAACATTTATGTGACAGTCAAACTTCAAGAGTAATTGTGGATTGTATGGTACTACCCAACGGTTATCTAGTTGATGGCCTCTTACATCCACTGAAATTGATGTCATTCTTCTACGGTAAACAGGAAATGAATCTTTCCCGAATGATGTATCTTCACACAAAGATCGAGGGAATTTACTTTTACAAGAAGCTATTGAACATCCCTTTTTTTATCATGCAAGGGCAATTTGGGTTCAAGACACCACAAGGACCGTGAATCATGTGTTTCTTAACAAGAGCATACAAACGTGGTTGTTTCTCTCGGTCAGGTAATTCTGCACAAACGAACTTATCACATTCAAAGGAAGTTTGTATTTTCGAAGAAGCCCTCAGGATAATGAGAAAATGTGCATGAGGTAATCCTCGCTTTTGAAATTCAATCACATATATATATACGCAACTATATCACCAAAGAACTTTTTCTTAGTTATGTCATTTTTGAACTCTTGCAACCGAGTATGAAAAGCCCGACAGACAATATCAGGTCTGTTTTGCGCCTCATCTTTGTGTTCTAATAACTCCTTAATTTCTGGCCAATTGGGATTACATGTTATTGTTACAAAAAGATCTGGCTTTCCATACTGCAGAACAAGAGCCATGGCATCCAGATAATGTTTATGCATATCACGAGGTCCACCTATAAATGAAGCAGGTAGAATAATACGTTGGCCAATATCATCGCCATATACCATACCCATTTGCATACTATCAATAACACCTTGATACGTCTCCGATCTAAGGTCAAGTTGCTTAAGCCTATAATAATCCAAACGCTGCGTCTCAATTTTTATGTACACATCTACAATAAATTGTTGAAGTAGCCTACCCGAGTGCAACAAATAGCTATTATCCATTCCACGTACTTGCAATTTGTAGGCATAATACTCTCTACATGACACTGTTTTTCTTTTACGCCCACTTATAAAGTTAGCTTCTTCCATTTCGACAGGGCCGGCTCAAGCCAGGGGCAAGGTGGCCACCTGGACAGGGCCCAATTTTGGAGGGGGCCCCACTTTTTTTCTTCTTTTGTATATATTCTATGTATATTATATATATTTATAAAAAAAACAGGTTAAGACTATGAATTATAAATTTATAAGACTATGAATTTGACATTTTATTATTCTTATTATTATAATATGTTTTATTGTTAAAAAAATTTAATTGATATACTTTATTTTATTATGACACAATGTCCCATTTTCTCCGTGACGTCCAGGGTCCCTGATTTCTCGGAGACGGCTCTGCATTTCGATAAGCTCTTCAACACTGTGTATAAGGTTAACATCTGGGGTAGGAGTAGTGTGGCTATTTTCCACTGGTCGATGTTGTATCCGTGTGAGAACTTTATCGATGCCTGTATGCCAGCCAACTTCACCCCCAGCAAACAATAATGGATATTGCAACGGATCATAACATCCATAAAAGTATCGTATACTTAGTGAAACACCACTATACGCATAAACTCTTTTCCGAATATTGCAATGGATCATGTTTATTTTCCGAAGTCCCATTGTTTGCATCTTCCATCCATATTGCTGCAACTTGTGAAGTGGTTGGAGCATTATAAACTCTTTGGTCTAAACCGGGATCACTATTAATCTTGATACTAAAATCAGTATCATAGCACACGTCTTTGAGACTTTTAAAAAACTGTGCATACGGATTTTCTGAAAGCACTTAGCTTGCACAAGGATAGAAACAATTTCTTTATCCAACCTATCACATGTTTCAAGTCTATCCTCAATTTGTTGAGCATTGTCAAAAAAATATAATTGCAGATTTCGAGGAGGAGATCCATCAGGAAGTAAATCATTAAGAAAATGATATATCTGACCTTGTACTTTAAAAGTATAGATTCCCTTATTTCTTTTGCATAGATCTTTATCATAATTGTATATACCAATGGAAGTAAAAGCAAAGGTGTTATTGTAAGTACGAACAGCAGATTGGAAGTGTTTCGCCTTAAGATCGTTGCAGATGAATAAATCATTCAAAAGACTTGGCATTTCATTTGAAGCAAGGACGACCTCACCCTGGCAACAACAAAACCCTAAGGGCTCATACACCATGCTCTTAGCCCCAAAAAACGTGCAGTCTGGCACCCGCCTCAGAGAAAATGGTAAATCATAGTACGCATAAACAGAGGGAGGGTCTAGAAAACATTGTTTCAAAAGAAGTGGAAAACATAGAACGAAGTAGAGAAAGAAAGAAACAATTAGTAACAATAGACAACGTAAGAATAAATCTAAAATTAGTTTAGGCGTTGATCAAGACCTTTAGGAGGAACAGAAGGAGTATTAAACTTAGGTTGTTTCGCACGTTTCTCTTTTTCTCGTGTTTCACGATATTGAAGTCGGCGTCTAAAGTTCCTTTGTTCACGACGTTCGTCGTCTACAGTTTTATGCTGAGAAGAACACCCAATCTCCATAAAAGGAAATGATATAGTTTGCCACTCTTAAAGATAAAAAAATTTAAAATGATAATGTTTTTCTGTTTAAAACAACTTACATGTGCAGAGTACATTATTTTTTTAATTAGACAGAAGAAGTTTTTTTAATTTAATTGTTTTCATGGGCAAAGCATGGAAAAATAAAATAATAATGCATTTCAAGAATATATTCATTCCCAAATGAAGATAGAAAAACAAAAAAGTAAGAAGCAAACCTGCAGGTCAACGAAGGAAACGTACGCTGCGAAGTATACACTGGTAAATATCTAAATACAAAATGAACAATAAAGAAGTTAGCAAAAAAAATAAATTCAAACAATAACAAAACCACAAGAACTGGCAAACAAAGTTCCATATGTTTATTAAGTCCTAATGTCTATCAATGTCTAAATTTGATTATCATAGGAAATTCATAGGACTCTGTCCTCTAATATTTATTAAAAGATGAAACTAAAAAGTGTAAGGTGTTTGGAGAATGTAGAAAGATACATAATAACAGAGGGGGTATGATATAATCTGCGGATTATAAAGCCCTGAATAACCATTGATATGTTACAGGTTGGGTTCTAACTCATTTTCAAACTAAAATCAAATACAAACACACCCAAATGGACATGCAAAAAAAAAATAAAACAGCCTGAATAGCCATTGATGTGTTGCAGGTTGGGGTCTAACTCATTTTCAAACTAAAATCAAATACAAACACTCCCAAATGGACATGCAAAAAAGAATGTAAAACATCCTGATCTTTAGAATCAAATGAATGGTTAAAATTGAACTTCAAACATGCAATTAAAAAACCAGATGAACAAACTCCATGATTTCTAACTAAAAAATCATAACAGCAAACTCTACCCATTACATACAAAACTCATTTTCAAACTAAAATAAAAAAGAAACACTCCCAAATGGACATGCAAAAAAGAAATTAAAACATCCTAATCTTTAAAATCAAATGAGTGGTCAAAATTGAGCTTCAAACATGCAATAAGAAAATGAGTTTGAACCAGGATTATAAAATCAGTGAAAAATCAGTTTGAATATCAACAAAATTGATATTCAATTTTATTGCTGCTTCAATTCTATCCCTTCGAATTCTATTCAATTGAATTTCAATTCAATTCAATTTAAAAAAAGACCAAAATAGATCTAAATTTTGTTAGAATAAGTGACCAACGCTAGAGGGGGGGTGAATAGCGTTTGATCGTAGAAATCGCAGGAATAAAAAAAATTAAGAACGTGAAAAGTAAAGAGCGTAGAAAGCGTAAAGGGAGCACACCAAGATTTATACTGGTTCACCACAACGTGTGGCTAATCCAGTCTCCCTGTTAGATATCCGGGAGCATCCACGAAGACTTTCCATAGCCCACAAAAGGGAAGGCAGATCAAGAGAGTGAGGCCGAAGTGTGGCGACATTATTTGGATTAAATTCACTCCGTTGCCCTATCTCAAAGCCCAAACCGACACCGTGGTTGTCCTACACCCCCCCTAGGCCGAACCAACACCCCACCCAACCCTGAACATCCAAAAACATTTCCTTTCTCCAAATAAAGTTTTCCTACTCTTATTTTAGCCCCTAGCCAAAATGAGAATGTGTGAACCAAAACCTTTTGTTTGTTGTTATTTTCCTTCTTTTAAGCCTTTCCAATAAACAAATAAAAAACCCTCTCTCCTTCTTTTATTTCCTGGCCAATTAAATTTCACAATCCCAACATAAACACCCACAAAAGGCCAAAAACCTGACCCACCACTAGCCCTTTATTCCTGCCCATGATCCCTTTACAATATCCCAAACCCATAAGTCCAAAATCACATTATTCCCTTCCCCTTTCCCTTCACCCTTGGCCAAGAATCCCTGCCCATTATACCAATCCAACCTCACCTTGTTCCCCCATAAAATACCCACAAGAAGCCCCCAAAAGAAAACCAGCCATTTCCTACACAATCCCTTCCCACTTGGCCAAAATATTCCCCTCCAAATCACCAAAGGAGATGCCATTCATTTTCCCCCTGATGTACCATCCCTAAAGACCCTACAACCACACCCCCCATCTCTGATTTTACCCCACCAAAAGGACAACAATGAGTGGCTCCTGTTTTTCCTTTGATTTGTGTGAATAAGAGACCTTAGAGTCTCCTTTATGTACCTATATAAACTCAGGCCCTATGGCCATTGTAAACAATCTTTGAATATATTGAAAACCCTTTACTCTTTGAGTATTATTAAAATAGTGTGATGCTATTTTAGCCAAATTCCTAATTCTATATCTTAAGAGTGGTTATCTTAAGTGTGAGTTTTAGGTTCTAGATATTTGATTAAGTGTGTAATATCTTAATTGAATTCTAGATTCAAACCCCAAGTTAGGATAAGAGTGTGTAATATCTCCTAACACCAACTTGGTTTTATCCATCCGTGATATTTCTTCCATTTCATATCCCTCCATTTCTCCTCTTAATCTCACTCTTTTTCTGCTATTAAAAATACCAAAAGAACTCCTTC